GCGACCCGGCCCGGCCCGGAGGGCGGGAGTTGGGCTCCCTCAGCGGGCAGCGGCGGCGACGCGTCCCTGGTTTTAACTTGTTTTAGTGCGGTTTCTCCGGGAGTTAGCGACCCCGCTAGGGAGGGGGGCGGGCAGGCAGGCAGGGCAGACGCCCCCCTCGAGGTGAGGCAGCGGAAGGGCTTCTCTGAGGAAGGGGCGAGGTGCGAAGGACGGCGGGGGGCAGGTACGGAGCAGTGGTAAAAGCGCGGAGAGCGCGGTGGCATCGGCCCGCTTGGCGGTGGGGCGGCCTCGGCTGCAGCTTGGCAGGCCTCTTCCTTCTCCCACAGCGTTCCTGGAGCTCACCGAGCCCCTCGGCTCCCCTGGCTCCTCGGGGGACGTACGCGGCAGGCGCCTGCCAGGCCGCTGGCCAGGCGAGCAAAAGCGGAGTGTGCCGCGGGGTGGGCGAGGGAGGTAGCAGGGAGCTCTGATGGTAGCTGAGCCAGGATTTCGTGCTTCTGACCAGAAAAACTGCGTTGCCCCCAAGTCTTCCAGTGGGTCTACACCGGAGTAAAAGCCTGTAACAGATACGAGCATTGTTTAATTTTGAAAGCCGCTGTTGGTCCATGCCGGCAAACTAGCAATCTGCAGATGCCAACTGAACAGGCATACCTGCCTCATTGAAGCGGTCCACTCTCCCTGAAAGAGAAAGTCATGAACATCCACTTCCCCTTCTGGAATTACTGTGAAGGGTCAGTAATTAGATGCAAATGTATCTTTACTCACAGAGCCTGTGTTTACAGCTCAAATACAAAATACATACTCTCTGTGTTTATGCAGGGCTGTTTTTACATTCAATCTGGATAGAATAAACAATCAAAAAACATTAAATAATAATAAAAAAAAATTAAAAACCCAACAAACAAAAACCAGAAAGCCCAGCAGCAGTTTCAGGAGCAAATGTGACTGTTGCAGAAAGCAGCTCTTCAGAAGACACAATTCCAGTGTGGAGAATGCAATTGCTATTTGCAGATTTTAAGAACAGGGAAGTTAATCTTGTAAAAATGCTACAGCTTTGCTTTACGATCTTAAGAATATTAGGAATACTTAAAAGCTGACTAGGAAGGAAACTGCTGAATAAATAAAGTGAATATACTGAAACAAACTATGGCATGTGGTGCACAAATACTCATTAACACATTAAGATCTAGGAAAGAGATGAGGTGATCCTACTGCACGTTTTGCTGTTTCTTTTTAAACTTTAGTAGGACTTCGGGACACTTCCGTTATGACAGTTTTTCTTCCTTTCACCATGTTCTTCAAAGTTAGTGTTGTTCATTTGATCCAAAACCAAAGAGAAGTAGTCGTTTGGTTAGTGTTATCCATTGCAAAAATGTTCACTCAGACACCTCACCCAGTGTTTAATAACATGCAGAAGATATATTTGTATATGCAAAACATTTATAATGACACAGAAAGGCATACAAAAATTATCAGGTTAAAATGTTTATTAGTACTCTAGTTTGCACAAAAGGAACTTAGGATCTCAGTCTCTCCTTCTTGCCCTTGTACAAGGTCAATGGGGAAACATTGGCTACTTTGACAGCCTTGAATTCCATGGATGTCGCCAGCAGGGTGACCCTTCCAACCAAAACCAGCAAGCAGAACTTGTCATTTTCCTAGAATTTGGCAGTAACCAGACTGTTAAAAACAACTGTATGATTTAATTGCAGTAACAAATAAGAATAAAGTCAAGCAAGGCTAACAACCAGCACTTGCTTTGGTAAATTTACAGCTGTATGTACAGTGGAGTAGCTGCACCCGAAGTGTGTTGAAATAGCCTCAAGTTGGAAAATTTGAGCTCAACGATTCCACAGTCTCTGTTCACTAACCAGCAGAACACGGTAGCTCTACGCTCCCCAAAGTGTCGGTTGAGGAACATTACTATTCCTGAGTGGTTACGCTGCGTCAGTTAACTTTATTGGTTTTGGGTGCAGGTTATTCTACCTCGATGAAGTTCAGGCAACCGCCGTTGGGAGCGAGGGCCGCTACTCTCCTGCCGTTCTGGATCAGCTGGACGCTAACGCTTTGCCGGATGGGAGAGTTGGGCTGCTCCGCTTCCGCGGGTCCGTTTGACAGGGGAGCAACCCGGCCACCGAGCAGCAGTTTCCTCACGTGGGGCAGCCCCCCGGGCAGTCCCTGCCAGCCCCCGGCACTCAACGTGCCAGGCATGGATGTGTCCCCGTCCCCGAAGCTCCCGGCCGCAGGTGCCCCGCGGCTCGCGAAGGTGGCCGCAAGGCCCTGCTCTCGGGGGGTCGTTCCTCTCCCTGGCGAGGTGTTTTTGCCGTGAACTATCCCAAATTAGTAACTCTGCTGGAAACAGCCGCCCGGGAGGACTGTTGGCAGCTGGGTGGAAGCGGGTTGTTTCCTTTGGAGATCGCCAGCACTGTTACATAAGCGCTTCTAAAATTAAATGTTCAGTTGGCCGAGCAGATAAATCCACCCGAAATCCCACAATTTATCTTAGAACTCCCGGTATAATCTGATCTCCAGTGTTCCCTGCGAAATCTGATTTCTGACGTCCCGCAGAGCTGTAAAGCCAAAGCCTCAACGGGAGGCCCTCAGGGACCGACCCCTCCGCAGCAGGTCCCTCGCTCCCCGCCGCCCAAGCCCCGGTCGCCCGGCCCGGCGGCCGCGCGAGCCCCGCTCCGCCCGAGGCGGATCGGGAACTACAGCTCCCGTCGTCCCCCGCGCCGCCGCCATTTTGGGCCGGTTTTGCCGCCTCTGGCGGCCGCTGCCGTCCCCCCCCCGCAGGTTCCTGGTGGTGTGAGATGCTGTCAGTGTTTCCTCATGCGCCTCTTCCAGCAGCGAGAAGAACGAAGAGGAGGGAGAATTACGGCTTTGACTACCTTGTGTGGTACCTCAGAGGCTGTGGCCTTCTCTCACTTGAACGGCAGCTGCTTTAGGAAGCACTGATGGGTGTACAACAGTCCAGACCCTCTGGCTGCCACTTACATTCTCCAGGGGAGTGGAGGCAGACAAGTGTTGGGACCTCCTTCCACACTGGTAGATCTACCTTGTAACGCAGACTGAGCTTTTTTGTGGTTTGCTTTGGTTTTTTGTGTGTGTGTGGTTCCCCTCCCTCCCCCGAAGGTTGACCAAGAATTGGAAGCTTCATTCTTGATCCAGTTTCCATCCAGACCAGCTGTGGCAGGGCCTGGAGTCTGTATGGAGATTCCTCAGGACAGGATGGCATCTTTGGGGATTGTTAGGAAGGGTGGAAGGAGTAGAAGGGAGGCAGGAAAGAGAGTTGTAACAGGATGAATTTTTGCATCATCCCAGCTTGCGTGGTGGAGATGAAGCCTGAAAGACCTGCAGGCAAATTGGTTGCCCAGAGAGAGGATTTTGTTGGAACTGAGACAAGCTTTTTCTATATATTGAGGCCAATTTTCTGTCCATGCTTCTGTTGCATTGTCAGTACATTGTGAATATATCTGAACCAGAGAAACAATGCATGTCTCAGAGTAAAACAATAGTAACGATACATTACATGCTAGTACGTTGTACAGTGACTGATACCTCATACTTTGGTTGGGACATGCTATTTTAGAAAGGTGCTCAGTTCATGGCGACCTGACATGTCACCTGAAGGTAACTATAAACTGTGTTGAAAACAGATTGTGCCATTGTCTGAGGAGGTGCTAGCCAAGAGATAAATTATCCATGTTTAAAATTATGTCTGCAGTCTCATTCATTGCATGCAAACTCAGTGTGTGTATAATCATTGCAGCATCAGGCAGAACAGCTGTCATCTTGGGGTCTCCATCAATGTTTATGTAATCATCTGGTTTGACAGGGGGTTTGCTGGACTGTGGTGACACGTTTGGGGATGTGTGGGATGCCAGCAATACTGACTGGCTAACCTATCAGTCTCTGATTGTTTGCTTGGTGGCATGTTTTCTTTGTTGTCTGCAAACCCTGCTTTGTTTCTGGGCAAATTGACATGTATGTTTCCCCTCTTTCACTATGTGAAACTGGTGGTCTAAGAAGGCAGGTTCCTGCTAGAAATTGATAGCACCGTGGAAACACACAGGCTGGAAGTAAAGTTAAAGATACATTCTGTTGTCACAGAATGGACCACAGGACATTAGCTTGGATTCAGCCTGTACTGACTTTAACTGTGGCCTGCCATGGTTTATACAACGTTCTCTCCCTTTCTGTGTCCTCAAAGGACACATGACTTGTTAATTCGTGCCATACTGGTTTGTATTTCAGCGTGTTTATTTCTTAGCTGTTGCTCCTGTGCTGATGAAGAACACTTAGAAAATAGCAGCACATGGATGAAATCTTAAGGCACCATCAGAAAGCCTCTCTGTGTCTCTCCGCCCCCCCCCCCCCCCCCTTT